TAAATTATAAAAAATAATAAAATATATAAATATATAAAATAAATATAAATATATAAATTAAAATACAACTAATAAAAACAAATCAATAATAAATAAATAATATATAAAATAAATAAATAAAATTTATATAAATATTAAATATAAAAATAAAATAAAAATCTAAAATAAAAAATAGAAAATGTTAAATATAAAAACAAATAAATTAATAAAAAAAATATAAACTAAACTAATAAATATAAATATAGAAATAAAATTAATAAACAAACAACTAAAAATTAAATATTAAATAAAACAAATATAATAAAATAGCAAAATATAAAAATAAAAAATAAAATTAATGAACAAACAAATAATAAATATATATATATATAATTCTTTAAATAAAATATAAAACATTACAAATTAATAAAACAGATAAAATAAAATAAAAATATATCAAATAAAATGAAAATATACAAAAAATTTAATTCGGTAAAAACAATATATATATATATATATATATAAAATAACTATAAAATAAAAGTATTTAAAATCAAATATAAACTTTAAATTAAAAATGTAATTAACTTTAATTTTTTTTAAATTATAAAATATAAAATAATAAAATAAATAATGCATTACGCCTATACCAAAAATACTTCAGTAATGTTTAGTAAATAGTGTAACACACACACACATAAACGTACAGTGTGATGATCTAGAGATGCAATACTGTAGAAATGACTGTAAATAAAGTTTGCAGAAGTACAAGTAGACCAGAACGCAGCTAATCTCTCTCTCCGACCATGTTAAATCAGAAAGAAATTAAAACAGAAACACACACACAAACTGAGTAAGTCTTACACTGTATTGCAGGAGTTTCCACACACTCCTCTGGCAGCAGTTCAACACACAGAGAAACAGAAGACAGCAGAGGAATAAAATCATCTCAAACGCCACAAACACATACATGCTCAAAAAATGCTGGGTTGTTTTAAGCCATCGTTGGGAGATATATGAACAAACCCAACAACACACATGTCATATGGCTGTATATAGTCACTGGTGGGAGGTCACCTGGTCACCAACGTCACTTTAGAGCTAGTGTTTGAATGATTCTCTAGCGTAATGTCTAAAGTGAAGACAAAACAGCAGATTTTGCTCAAATTTTAAGATTATCAGGCTGAACGGCATGAAATGCCATCAGTCTACAGAGATTTGCCAGTATTTATTTGCTGCAATCGGGAGATCACAATAATTATCCCCGAAAAAACCAAAGCAGCACTTTGAAATTAAAAATAATTTAAAATAGGCACTATCCTTATAAATAAACTGCACACTTGCAAACTAAACAACTTCATTCTCCCCTAAAATGCCTCAGAAGTGCATTCTTATGTTGTCCAACAGCTGCAACATTTGTCAAACTGTAGTAACCCTTGCTTGTTGCTGTATGTGGACAGGGTAATACACAAGTTTGAAGGGTTAAAGAGATTATGGACGAGTGCATTTATTTGCAGAATATTGCACGGCTATCAGCCAATCAGATTTAAGACCCAGACAGAACTGTTGCTGTTGTTCTGTCTGGTTCTTGAATCTGATTGGCTGATGGTCGTTCGATATTTTGCCAGTAACAGCACATAAAGGCCTCTTCACCCTTCACCTTTGTTTATTACTCCGCCCAAGAGGACTAAAGAAGCTTCCATTTCTGTTTCAAGAAGCTTGCCACACATGCCACAACGCAGCGTTTGCGTCGGGTAATTAAACAGTCAGCTGTTCAGCAGTACCTGTTTCAACCGGCAGGTGGGAGTGGCTCTGTTATCACATGGTCTTAAAAAAATCCCGCCACTGCACTGTATTCATTCTTTATTTTGAGGAGCTGAAGCTGATGAGGTAATAATACAACTGTTTCGCCAAACTGAATAGTACTGAAACTACTGATAAAGCTTAATGTTTGTGTTCACAATATACTGTGTGTAGTTTTGGTTGAATAAAATAACTGTAATCAATAAAATGTGCGTCATATAAACGTAAATTCATGCGAGTTAGTCAGAAAAACGTACATTGTACTAGCTTTCTAGATATGATTTAGATATCTAGACAAATTTATCTAGATATGATAAAGCCAGGGCCGGAGCAAGCTGAACTGCCGCTCTAGGCAGAGGACGATCACGCCGCCCTAACCCCAATGTGAAAACGAAAGTGACCGGTTATGAAAATAAAGTGAGGTGTCGCAGACCTCTATACTGATGCCCTATGCAGGAATATAACGGAGGACGCGCAGGTGCTGAGGAAGGGAGGAAGGTGTCCCTGACGCTGCCCTCTCTATTCTGTCGCCTATGCGCAAATCTGAGGACACGGGTGGTGAGGGAGGTGTCGCGGACATAACTGAGGATGCGGGTGGTGAGGGAGGTGTCACGGACGCCGCCCTCTCTATACTGCCGCCCTAGGCAGCCGCCTAGATCGCCTCTATGGACGTGCCGGCCCTGGATATAGCCAGTCACATCTGTTTCTGTAATAATTAAATCACAGTGAGTTCATGCATCTAGCGTATTATTTATAGCTATATTCTACTGCAACATGCTGTGTCAGTTAGCATCGAATTATAAATCGACTTTCTTATGAAAATACCTAATATGGCTGGAAGACCAGCCTGATCTCACGAGGAAACATGAGTATTTTACGTTTTGTCAGTTTAGTGGCTAATTCGTACGAATTCGTATGAGTTCAGTCGTACAAAAATGTACGATTTTAAAAAGGAGGCGTGGCACCTAACCCCACCCCTAACCCCAACCGTCACTGGGTGATGAGCAAATCGTACTAAATTGTACGAAATAGATCGTACGAATACAAAAGAATTGGCCACTAAATTAAAAAGTTACGAATTGCCGCGAGATTGCGTTATAGACTGTTTATTGTCGCAGTCGTGTAAATGATCAGTTAAAGCCATTTTATGTTTATTCAGATCTTTTTTTCATTCATCCATATTAGGGATTTCCTGGAATGTTGTGCTACTTTTGTGAGGCATGTATGTAATTTCAGCTCAAGCATGAATGAAACAGGCATTACATGCATTTAAAGTGCTACAATGCCTGCGTCAACCTATTTAAAGGAGAACTGAAAAAAAAAAAACATAATTCCATAATTCCAGCATATAGATCTTTATTTTAATTGTTTCTTGTACTATTTTTGATGCAATTGTTATATCAAAAATAGTAGCCTATTGAATATCAATATTTTGCAAGGTATTGAATTTAGAAATTCCAGTATCTTGACAACACTAGTTATTCACTCTGTCCAAATGAAGATGTTTGTAGCTTTGTAGCACATTGGATAACAACTCACACTATAAAATAAACCATATTTTCAGATTTGAACACAAAAAACTCAAAAAAACAAACAAACAGAAACTGTAAATCAGGAGATAGGAGGCTCAAGAGGTATGATATGGCTCATAACAGACTAGTAAATGAGAAGTGGGTTCATTTGAGAGGAGTCTGGATGCAGACCTGGTGCAGTGCAATCTGAGCTGCATCCAATGCTTTTTAATGGGCTCGCCTAACCCCACCCCTAACCCGACCCATCACAGTGATGTCATTCGCTCCATTTGAGTGCATTGTGTCTGACAGTGCATCTCAGCTTTCATCATAAAGGCTGCATCCAGATACTATTGGTTAATTTATCAATGTTTTTTTCCTTTTTGGTGTTGTAAGTCACAAGGCTTCAACTCAACTTCGACCGTCAACTCAAAAATCCTTGATTTTTTATTAAACCATTTATAATCATAGTATTAAGATTAAAGTAGATCACCTTTTGAAAGTGGGGGTATTTTAACGCAGTGAATTAGAACTTCTTTTTTTGGGGGGGACTTCTTTGGGGCTCAGCCCCTTATCCCTTTCGACCCCATAGATAAATACACCAGATATCGCATAGGGACACTGAGCATGCGTCAATAGCGCCGCCACATTGGTACAGTGCTCCCAGGACAGGTGTCATTCAACCGCACTAGTCAACCGCGCTGTCTACGGGTGTAGTAACGAGCAAACAAAGTAAACAAAGCACAAAGGCAGAACATTTCATGGGTAATATTAAGTTTTTTTCTGTTTTTGTTTGTTGTGAACTTTTGTGCTAATCAGGTAACGTTATTGATGATAACAGTCACTTACTGCATTCACCATAAGGCAAAGCAGCTCCAACTCGCACTAAACACTCGGCTTATGCTAGTTTTGTTGAATAAAATCAGCAAACAATGCAAAAGAAATATGACAACGAGATGCTGCGCTGCCAGAAACTTGTATTATTGTCGGCTAACGTTAGTGAAAGAGTCGTTCAGGGGATTCATTCACAAACGAATCGCTCCCTCCGTCAGTATGAGAGGTGAAAGCAGGAGAGGAGCTGTGTTTCAGGACATGATTAGATCAAATTTAACAGGGAGGGTGAATAGTACATTTCTGTACACACTTACACAAGCTTTTTGTCAGGAATGCCCGTGCAGTCACTGATCCATCAATGTAGAAAAGTGATGTAAAATTATAATTTTCGTAATTAAAAAAAAAATTGCATACTAACATCCAGGAAAACTCCCGATCATAGATATATGTGTATATGTGTATATCTCTGGCTTTGGATGGCCACAGTCCTCTACTGTACCTTGGTCCCGCATTCATTTCAAAGGAGCGCTACCCTGTAGCAAGATGGCGGCTCTATTGACGCATTCCTTCCAATCGACAACAACAGGGTAGGCGTCATCTAATGTATATATATATATGTTTCGACCCTAGCAACGCCCCTGCTCATAGCACACGTGCTGCTGCTGATGTGACAATTAAAGTCATTTGATTTGAATTTTGATTTGGTTTGATTTTGATTTGAAATATCGAAAAGCATTTTTTAGACAATCCAAAAAAAATAAAGGTGGAAAAAATTGGACTGGAACCCAGACAAAGAAATCCAAGTAAGAAAAGAGAACAGCAGTTTTTTTTTGCTGAATAATATGCTGTTAAATCCAGATATGTTTCTCCTACCAGGCGGTGCAGTGGCGCTCCAGATGCCACAGTCGGCAGCTCCTCGTAGGGCTTAAAGCGTCCACTGAAGGAGTCATGGACGCTGCGGGCCGAGCGGGTCATTCCTGCTGGCTCCGGCTGCCCACAACCTTGAAAAACCTGCAATTACATGGAGGACCATTATGTAGGAGCACACGGCTGAACACTGCAGAAACACAAACACACTATTCTCACTCCTAAAGCTACATCTGCTGGACACCACATGTTATTCTGCGGCTTTACAGACACTGAGGGACGCACTGACCCCCAACTGAAGACTTCTGCAGGTTTCAGGCTGGTTACACATGTCTGATTTCTACCCAGAATTACATTTTGACTTATATTTTCATCTCAAAATAATATATATATATATATATATATATATATATATATATATATCCAGCATTTCTAGGATTCTGCCAATCATATTTTCAAGTTCAGGAGAAAAGAAAAGGCGGCTGCACGAGTCTTTTCATTGTTTCACACACGTTGCTCAGTGAAATTGACACCTCCAAATGATGTTGAATGAGTCACATACTGTATTTATAAGGTATAATTTACCTAAAAATGTAATTTTTGTCTCAATATAATGATGTTTTCGCGATCGGGAAAATCACACATTTACATTTAGTCATTGAGCAGACGCTTTTATCCAAAGCGACTTACAAATGAGGACAAGGAAGCAATTTACACAACTATAAGAGAAACAATAAATAAGTGCTGTAGGCAAGTTTCAGGTCTGTAAAGAAAGTCTAAGAAGCAAAACAGTAGTAATTTTTATTTTATTTTTTTTTTGTACAGTTTGTGTGATATAGCCAGAGAGGCAATTGCAGATTAGGAAGTGAAGTGGAGACTAAATAGTTGAGTTATTAGTCGTTTCGTGAAAATAGCGAGTGACTCTGCCATTCTGATGCAGTTAAGGAGTTCATTCCACCAACTGGGCAGATTGAATGCGAGAGTTTGGGAAAGTGATTTCTTCCCTCTTTGGGATGGAACCATGAGGTGACGTTCATTCATAGAATGCAAGTTTCTGGAAGACACATAAATCTGCAGAAGTGAGAGCAGATAAGAAGGAGCAAAGCCAGAAGTCACTTTGTAGGCAAACATCAGAGCTTTGAATTTGATGCAAGCAGCAACTGGCAGCCAGTGCAAACGGATGAGTAGTGGAGTGACATGTGCTCTTTTAGGTTCATTAAAGACCACTCGTGCTGCTGCGTTCTGGAGCAGCTGAAGAGGCTTGATAGAGTTAGCTGGAAGCCCGGCTAGTAGAGAGTTGCAGTAATCCAGTTTGGAGAGAACAAGAGCTTGAACAAGGAGTTGAGCTGCATGTTCAGATAAGAAGGGTCGGACCTTTCTGATGTTATAGAGTGCGAATCTGCACGATCGAGCAGTTCTAGAAATGTGGTCAGAGAAGTTTAGTTGATCATCAATCGTTACTCCAAGGCTGTTTACCATTTTGGATGCAGTAACACGAGACGTGTGCTGCTGACCGTGAGCTGTTATCACAGGGCGGGCGCATGCTCTACTTAATGACAGACGCGCGCACGTCTACTTTAGTGAACAGAACCTGCATATGTTGCGAGTAACAGGTAATACAGTTGTAAATAATATTCAGTTTGTGTCACAGAGTGATCGTTTGGGAGCAGCGCGTGAAGTATGAACAAGCACTTGGCAGTCTAAATGAAACCGAAAGTGTGCACTTCATTTAAAGGATCATATCGCATTTTAGAGTTATGATTACGGCAAGCATTTGATAAGTTTTTTCTTTCATAGAGAACCCACAGTTGTGCATGATAAAAAATGTTTACAGTGTCAGTATAACTACTCCAGCCTATATATTGTTGAATATAACCTGATAATGGCAAATGTCTGATTTTACCAGTGAATTAAATTGTCTAATATGACAGATTGCAAGCAAATATCTCAAACATCATAATTCAACATCAGAAATATTATAAGTAGAACAGAATTATTTATAGAAACCAGTAGACCTATAATATTATTATAGATGTTGTGGCATTTGTTTGTTTTTACGATACCTTTATTTTACGTCTACAGAATCTTGAGAAAATCGTGATCTTTATTTAAAGCAAAAAAATCACGATTTTCATTTTAGCCAGAATCGTGCAGCTCTACTATATATATTAAACAAATGAAATATTTGATTTTTTTTATAGTTTGTAAATAATTTTGGTATTAGAAGTTAAATAAAAGTGCATTTTATTTCATTATGTGAACACCACTGCATCTGGTGAGAAACGTAAAGTGTGGAGTTGCCTGACACACATCACCTTCCTGGATTCTGAGAAAGCAAAGCGGAGGCTGAATAACAGCATCTAAACCAGACTCTGCTTCTCCTCCTCTTGCATCTGCAATTAGTGGTGTGTGTGTGTCTGTGTGTGTGTGTGTGTGTGTGTGTGTGTGTGTGTGTGTGTGTGTGTGTGTGTGTGTGTGTGTGGAGAATGCAGAGACATTTACTGGCCGGAGCATATCTGACCGTCCGCAAGTATGCTGCTAAAAATACTCCAGCGGTTGGGAATATTGCAGACTTGTTCCTTCAGGATCTGATAGAGAACATGCTGATTGTGGAGCCCTGCCCACTACTGCCCATCTCTCCCTCATTAGCATAAACAGCAGCCCTGAGTGAGAAGCAGCCGTCTGTCCATTAGCCATTAGAGTGCTTAAGCTGCAGAAGATAATAGCCCTTTTCACACATACACACCTTTCCGGAAAATTACCGGCAATTTTCCGGGAAGGTGTGTATGTGTGAACAGGTCCTTTTTGAAAATACCGGTAAATTCATTCTGGCTATTTTACGGAAAGAGACGTTGTAACATTACCGGTAATTTGCCGGAATGCTGCGCTGAAAATAAGGAAAGCGTGGCGGGAAAGTCCATGCGGCTTAGAAGAGCCGCATGGCCCAAAGGGGCCACCTTTTGATGGGTTCTTTGTTCGGACTACTCTCTAGGATGTTTGGGGAGAAGTCTGGTTATACCTGCGGGTCACGTGACAACCTGTTCAGCATTCTGACCAATGATTTCAGGGGAAAGTTTGAGCGCGAATCCTTCCTTTGTCTCGAGGCTGCTCGTATGCAAATTTGAGTGTCCGCCCAAAGCAGGCGTTTAATACAGGGATTTAAAGAATAAAGCAATGCGAGTTATGATCTTGCTCTATGCATCATGTGTTGTAAAATGTCACAATCACAAACCCATCGGTACCAAACATGGGGGGTTTAAAAGTACATCAACATAATTTTTCCCATCCTCACATTATTTATGCTTTAAAAAGGCCTAAAGGGACCACACGTACAGGTTATATGAGGGGTTATACAGGTAAGAAAAGTCAGAAATGAGATACAAAGTTTGCAAACATAACATTTAAGGTTCTGTGCTGGTCCCTGGTTTCTCAGTCGATTTTTCTTTAGACTAGTGTCCTTTGGGTGTGGGGGAGTTGAGTGTGTGTGTAAGGAAGGAATGTCTTTGAAGATCTAGGCTTATCTGTCCAGTCTCCCTTGATTACGTAAGTCTGTCGGGTGTACCCAGACTTGTGGAGCCAGGAGTCGTAAACCGTCCTGTCGACTGAACCCAGACCGTTTTCATGGAATGTTGACAGAGTGTTTACCTCCAGCATATATGTTACAATATATATGTTACAGTGAATGCAGAAGGAAGATTGCCGGAAAGAGTGCGTGCACGTCTAGAACGTGCTGACGTGCGACGTCTGCTTTAGCCAATCAGAACAGTCAGACGCTTTTACGTCCGCGCGGTTTGTGAGAATAAAAGCCTTTGAATATTTTCCCAGACGCATTTAGCTGCTAGAAGTTAGTCAGATCACGTTTATATGTTCTTCTTAATGCCAACTGTGTAAATAATCATCAATAAGATGCTTATGATAAGCCATTGTTTGTTTACCTTCAAGCTTTGTGTGTGCCTGTGAAACAGCCTGTGAGCGCCAGCACACGCACACATATCATGTACATCTCGACATGCGAAAGTGTTTCTCCATATGTTTTCATCTGAGTTGTTCACAATACTGATCATTCACAGAGTTTATGATGTAGTCAAATGTTTACCAATTCAAGCGCAGCCGTTTAGAGCTCATTTGTGGTGAATGATGTCAGAATTTACCGGTATTTTGGAATGGATGTGTAAATGCTCTTTTCCAGAAAAATTTCGTAACATCCTCGCCTGTGTGAACAGTGCAGTTTTAGATTTACCGGTACAGTCGTTCCGGAAATTGTCCATATATTTACCGGTATCACTGTGTGAAAGGGGCTACAGTCAGCAAACACTATTCAATTCAGTTAAGTTAATGTAGATTGTGTCAAAGCAGCTTAACATAGTTTTAAGAGGATTATAGATGTGGAGTTTTAGATGAAGCACAAATGAACAGCGACAGGAGCGACATAGACTGACGCTTCTTTTCACATTTGACCTTTAACACAGATGATGTTTGTCCTATCTAGAATCTGCCACTATGCTGACACACAGGCATTTGTAACTCCACCCTCTTTTGAAAAAAGTGCAAACTCATTTGAATATGAAGTGACGGTCCTTCGGGTTAGAGATCTGCACTAAATTTTGGATTTCCCACCCGCAGCTACCCGACCCGCCCCGTTTTTTTACCTGCCGCGCCCGATCCCGCTAACACACACACACACACACACACACACACACACAAGCACCAAGCGCACACACACAGGCAAAGCTCTCTCTCTTATTCACACACACACACACACACACACACACACACACACACACACACACACACACACACACACACACACACACACACACACACACACACCTCTCATTGACGTGTACACATACATACATACATACATACATACATACATACATACATATATATATATATATATATATATATATATATATATATACACACACACACACACGGCAACAAACAAGCTAAACAGAGCATCGCGCTATTTCATTTACACACATACATACGCGTGCTCGCTCTGGAGTCGGGAGCGATATTGCTAGACAGCCCGCTCCCGTACCAAATTAAACCCATTACCGACCGCTCGGTATATAAAAATATATATTTTATATATTAAAAAAAAAAAATATATATATATATATATATAATATATATATATATATATATATATATATATATATATATATATATATATATATATATATATAT